CATAGCGGGGCTGGCCATGTGGTCCTCTCTGTGGACTGGCTGCTCTAATTGGGAACATCATCCTCAGGGCCTGGTGGGAATAATTTCTTTCATTTGCCTTAGCTACTGTATGATTAAGGGTAGGTTTCAGAGTCTCTTCTGACATCCAATATGATCTTTTCTTTATTTCCTTTTTAATACCTGTTGCTTTTTTCATAAATGTTCTTGATATCACCCCACAGCTCATCAGTTCTTCTGCCATTAGTGTTCAATGAAATAAACTATTTTTGAATGTTTCTCAAATTCAGGTGGGATAGACTCAAGGTCATAATTGGGCTCTTGTGGACTTGTTTTAAATTTCTTCAGTTAACTTCAACTTACATATGAGCACTTTTTGGTCTGCAAAATCAGGCCCTGGTTGAAAAATGATATTTGCTATGAACAAGTTGTTGATTTTACAAAAATCTATCATGCAATCTCCAATTTCACTTCTATCAAGTCCTTATTTTCCAACTACTGTTTCTTCGTTTCTAACTTTTGCATTCTAATCGCCAATAATTATCAATACATCTTGATTAAATGTTTGATCAATTCCCAACCGAAGGTGTTGGTGGACATTTTCAATTCATCATCAGCTTTTGTAGTTCGTGCATAAATTTGAATAGTTTTGATTAGATTTCCCCGAAGGTGGAAAGATATAATTCTATCACAGACAGAGCTGTACTTCAAGATTGATTTGGGGATACCCTTTTTGACAATGAATGCAACACCATTCCTCTTGATTGTGCAATTTCTGACATAGTAAATCACATGGTTTTCTGATTGAAAATGGCCAATACCAGTCTATCTAAGCTCACTAATGCCTAGAATGTCCACCTTTAAGTGTTCCATTTCATTTTTTACTTCCAATTTTCCTAGACTAGTACATCCCAATCCCAGGTCATTAGATTTTTGCAACTGTGTCTTCTTACCCGAGTCATACCCTACCAGCAAATGAAGATCCCGAAGACTCCACTCTCACAGTACCCCACTCAAGTCAGCATGGTCCACTTCACTCCAAAAAGGTCGCTCCTCCGCAGTCACATTTTGAGTGTCCTTTGATCTGAAGGGCCTACCCTCTGGAACTACCTCTATGTTCTGCCTCCATTCATTAGGTCTCCAGTATCTGACAATGTTTCAAAGCAATGCATAAGCTTTTCAGTGGCTACTTCCTCCAAAATGGGCAGCCAATTCCTTTTTCATTGTCTGTTCATGACCTGGAAGCTCCATTGAAACCCGTTCAGTTTGGTTGACCCTGTTGGCATTTGAAACACCAGTAACATAGCTTTCAACACAGAAGGCACCACCATATGACAAGCAAGTGGTAATTTTGAGAACTAAGGAACATCTTATCCATTCCATGGGATTTCAATTCCCCTCATATGTATGTGAAAGTTGTACATGAAAGACGGGAATTGATGCCTTTGAATTATGGTGTTTGCCAAGACTATTGACTATGCCACAGACTGCCAGAGAAGGAACGAATCTGTACTTCTTAGTACAGCCAGAATGCTCCTTAGATGTGAGGAGAGTGAGATTTGGTGACTGGTACTCTAGACCAATCAGTCTCTGCAGAATGACCTCATGCTTGCTAAAGTAGATGGTTAAGGAAACAGAGTTAGATCTTCAAGGAGGTAGACACACTGGCTGCAATGACTTCAAACACAGTAATAGTTGTGAGGATGGCTTGGGAATAGGCAAAGCTCCATTCTGTTGTACTTAGGGTCTATGTCAGAACCATCTCCATGGACCCTAACAACATGTATGTGTGTTCAAGGCACCTTCAAAGAGTGTGGAAATATTCCACTATTTAAAAATTCCATTTTCCCACCAACTTTTTGAAAGTGTATATAGGGCTGTCAAAAGCACTGCAGTAAAATTATATTAATCTCTATTAAGTAAAAACATCAAACTACAAAGCTATTGTTTGACAAATCCTCCCATGTGGGGGAAGCCAGCCCCCCACATCTAATCATGGGTTCATTAAGCGCAATTGTATGGTAGCACGCTCACCTCCTGGATGGCCATAGTCTCAACAGCCAGGTTTGCACACAACATGAGTCGAGAGAGTAAGGGAGAGAGCAGGAGGGAGAGATTTATTGCTAACCAAGGCTTATATCTATTTAGGGGCCATGATTACAGGTAACCACACACGTTACACGAAGAGGCAGTACAATAGGCAATACAAGCAAAAGGAAGGGGATGTACAATGGGCATAAGTGTAACAGGAAGGGGATGAGCTAGGGGCATACACATGATAGGAAGGGGTGGAACTAGAGGTATACATGACAAGGGCAGAGCCTAGATTCATGATGGTGGCTTAACCTTGTTGGGCTTGACCTCCCTGGGCTCTCCTTCAGGGAAACAATTTACTACTATCCTTATCAGAAGGGAGTGGGCCCTACTTATTGTGGGATAAACAGTGCTGTCTGCTTGCTCTGAATGGCTGATAATCCTTAGGGAGAATAACCTCTGACCTACTTTTGTTGACCTCCAAGTGTAGTCATTTGCCATGTGTAGCAGGCAGCTAGGTTTGGCATATATTTGGGGGAGAGAACTTGGGAGAAATCCTTCTGTTTCCCACACTCGCGTCTAGGTTTATACTTTTCTGAAGGCAGTATTTCCCTAACTCTAGCCTTTCTCCCAAGAAGTGTGTACTCTTCACTAACATTGCATCACAATGGCAGTCTTGGCATTCTTGAGGGTCTCCTGTTGTGTTCCTCTGAAATGCTAGGTTTTGGGAACTAAAATTAGAAGGGGCAGCAAAATTAGAGTGGCCTGGTACATGGGTACGGATTCCCAATGAAATTCTTGTAAGATAGCCCTTGCTACCCTTGAAGAATATGGAGCTCTACTGTCCTCATGGTAAACAATTCCTTGGTACCACCTTTCTGACTTTTTCTCATTAATGCAGCCTGTTTTCTAAAAACATCATTGTAAGTTTTAAGAATATCAGCATGACCCTTTTGGAATCCTAAAAACAGTAGCCGTAACTCACTGAACTCTCTGCCCTGAATGTAACTCACTCAGCAGATCCCTTGGTGGTGTTTTCAATTATGCATTGGGTTGCTAACCACAAAGTCAGCAATTCAAAACCACCAGTAGCTCCTCAGGAGAAAGCTGAAGCTTTCTACTCTCTTAAGGCTTTAGCCTTAGCAACCCACAGAGGCAGTTCTACCCTGGGATAAAGAGCTGCAATGAGCCAGCACTGACCAGATGGATGGCTGTGAGCTTTGAGCAGACTTCCTTGGAAACCAGTTTTGATTAGAGGTTGTTTTTGAAGCTACCCAAGAAGACTAAGACAAGTGTATTCCTGAGGAAAAAAATATCTGCAGTCATCTACTGATCGAAATGTGTTGTCTGTAATAAACCTGTGTGTGTGTGAGCTGAACTCTATTAGCAATATTTTTTGATTTGCCATGCCTACCAAAATACGTTTTCTGCTTAAGAAGTAAACACAAAAACATTTTCAAGTTTTTCTACATAAAAATCTTTTATGTTTATATTTATTAAAAACAAGATAAGTTCTGTTGAAGTAACCATATATACACCATGATAAATATCTGAAATTGTAGAAACGGAAATATTAAACAGCTTCTATTTTCTCAGTAACTTAATGGCTTAAATATTCGCCCCTTTCAGTCTTTTCTTCTGAGAAACAAATTTACTTAATTTTAAACTCAGATCAAGTGTTTTTGCATTTTAAACACAAAATAATTGTAAAAAAGTAGGTATTAAGTTTACACTAGCTAAAAAATAACATTTACAATTATCAACAGTTATTAAAACATACAAATTTGTTTGTGGTAGCCAAGTATGTAAACAAAAACATCCCCAAAACATTAAGTACATCCCATAGAAATATAAATGCACCTTCTAGTGAATATATGAATAGCAAACACCAAAATTTCTGATTTAAAAACAGCTACTATGAAATGTCCAATTGTATTGTTTTGCTTCCTCAATATATAAATATTTCTATCTCAGTTAACAAGACTAGTCTTTCTTCACAAAAATGGATTATATACATGGAAAGGTAGGCAATGTCCTGTATTCAAGTTTAGTTTTCATTTAAATTTTTCTGTAATTTATAATAACTATGCATACAAAAGTAAAAAGATGAAGTAAACATCTTATATCTTTAAGAGAGTACTTGAAACCTCATACACAGATATTTCCAATGCCTAGGTTCTAGAACCATTCTTAAAAAGGCCGCCCACACAGGTATCTAGATCATATAAAGAACACAGATGTATCAGTCCTCTCAGTAGGTAATGATGATCTTCTCTGTTATTACAAAACAATCATGACTAATTTTGGCGACAATATTGCTCTAGTGTGAGTTTACATGAGACACCAAGCTACAGTAACAGCAGCTACAAGGCCATTCAAAATTGCCATGCTGTAGCCCATGTGGAAGGAATGACCAGTCAGCCTCCTAAAGGGGAGAAACAGAACAAAAAAGAAAGTATCATTTAGTATAACAGTAAACATCAAGATGCTTAAAAACAATAGTAATAAAAACTCATTGTCATCAAGTTGATTCCAACTCACCAGGACCCTAGAGGGCAGTAGAATTACCCCATTGGGGGTTCCAAGGCTGTAAATCCTAATGAAAGCAGCCTGCCATGTTTCTCTACAAAGGCTATTTGGTTTAAGTGCTGGCCTTTGGTTACCTGCTGAGTGCTTAGTCTCTGTGCCAATAGAGCTCCTCTTGAAAATGTTTATAATCTAGGAATATGTTTCCTAAGTGTTTCATACGCTAACATGCAAATAGTAAGGAATAGTAGATTTTTGTAGGATTAGTAACAGACAAATCTTAAATTCTGTCAATAACTGTCTTAGTTATCAAATGTAATTGTTTCAATGTCTTTACTCAGACCAAAATGTCCCAGTCTTTGTGTGTAGCCATAATCTGATTCTGTTGCATCAGGAGCATGGCCCTTCATTAATTAGTACTGTTTCCTTGTTTTGTTGTTCTCATTTAGCTCTAATTTAAAATACATATTATTTCAAGTATTTGTTCTGTTTTTACCATTTTGATTATGTGAAAGCATTCTTTGAGTGCTAAAAACAGTACAAGCCCACATATGATTGATACATCAGATATGCTTTTTATAGTCTATAAATGTCTATATTATACACGTCAGTTCTCAAAGTAACAAATCAAAAGTAAACTACCATATATACTCGAGTATAAGCCAATCTGAAATCAGTCAAGGCACCTAATTTTACCACAAAAACTGCATAAAAAATGCGCTGAAAAACTGCTTACACACAAGTATAAACAGTACCCGTTGTCAAAGACAATTGTCCTATGACAATTCTTGCTACCTTAAAGAATGAGCAGGTGCAATATCAAGATGGAAATAACTCCCTAAGAAAGAAAGAAACATTCTTTGGTGGATTAGGGGGTAGGAGGAGGGCAGGGTAGACACAAGTTAACTCTGGTGAAAACTCTACTCAGTGCTCTAGAGTCAATTCTCACTCATGGTGATCTAAGGAACAGATGATTAGAAAGCCCATCTTTATCCTGAGGTTTTGAGCCCCTAACCTTGTGGCTAGTAGCCCAATGCATAACTTGGGCGAAGGAAAATGCAACACAAAGTAAAGGGGAGCACATCATAAAATAATCATGGCAAAAGAAGACACTGGAAAGGGCACAAGAGTTGAAGGTAACAGAGGTAAAGACAATTTGTTACACACACAATCTGGTAATAACAGTAATAGCAATCATTTATGAATAAGTACAAAGACAAAGAATAAACAGGCATGGGAAGGTGAATGGGATTATATCTACTAATATGTGTAAGGTGGACAGAGGACATTTCTCTATATGTGTTCACATTTGCTGCATACAAATCCACGGATATAGTATAAGGTGACCAGATGTCCCGCTTTTGGCGGGACAGTCCCGATTTTTAACAATTTTTCCCGTGTCTTGCAGCATTTTTAAAAAGTCCTGATTTTTGGAAAGAATGCACAACAAGCTAGGGTATATGGTTTTCGGCTGCCATGTGGCTATTTCGCCAGGATATGAGTTTTATCAGTGGTGTCCCGCTTTACCAATGGTAAAATCTGGTCACATAAATACAGTAGCATATTCAGGGGCAAAGTTATAAAAATCACTTAGCTATAACCAAACACCTTGAGGCCATGAGTCCCTGGGCCTGGGGCTCAGAATCACAGTCATGGGGAGGCAGCAAGGTCAAATAGTAGAATAAAATCCACAAATAAATGTCTTTTGGCTATTCATTTAGAGTTTTATTCTCCTATGCTTTTCCAGCACAGTGCTGACTATCACCATGACCCAGAGGCACTGAAAGATCCTGAGGAAGAGCAACAAGCTCTTTAAAATGAAATTGCATTAAGTATACATTTTAAATACTTCTTACTCCAGAAATGAATGAAGGTATAGGTGGTTGCATGCCACTGCATATTAACCTACAGTGTGTTTTATCATGACAGCAGTCTACTTGGTTGCAAATTGAAGTATATCAGATGTTAACTTTATTCATCAGAAAGTCCTGATGGAAAAACGATTGAAGTCAGTGCTGGGCACTTTCTTGGTTAGACAAAGTCATTATTTACTAGAAAGCCAGTGCAGACAGTATGAAAGATTTAAAACACACACAAACAAAATAAAGTCAAGATTTTCAAGGCTTGAGTGTTCATGGGCAAATAAATAAAGTTTTCTAAAGCTCAAATGGAAATAACTGACAAAAGTGTTGCCAAGATTTAAATTTTGCCAAGAACCAAATATAAACACCACTATTTTCTACTATTATTAGGACTATTTCATAAAATAAAAACGGGGGGAAAATCAAACCAGTGACCATCAAGTAGACTTATTCATAGACCCCCATAAGCTTCACTGTGTATCCGTACTCCATAGGTTTTCCACGGTTTGTCAACATTCATAAATAGATCACTAGGCTTTTCTTTGGAGGCCCGTATGGGGGATAGATCTGAATCACTAACCTTTTGGTTAGTAGTCAAGCACTTAAACCAGGAGTCCTCAAACTTTTTAAACAGGGGGCCAGTTCACTGTCCCTCAGACCCATTGGAGGGCTGTACTATAGTTTAAAAAAAAAAAACTATGAACAAATTCCTATGCACACACATCTTATTTTGAAGTAAAAAAAACCAAACGGGGCAAAAACACCCGGCGGGCCGGATAAATGTCCTCGGCGGGCCGTAGTTTGAGGACCCCTGACTTAAACATTTGTGCCTCCCAGGAACTCCGTAAACAAGCAAGCATCTCAATACCATAATAATAAGATAGAAAGCATGGGGGGAAAACAAAGAGAAAAAAATCTATAGTACTGTATACATATATATGTATTTAGATATATATGGTAAAACCTCAAGATAAATAACAATTTAAACCTAGAAAAGATAGCAAGCAATAATTCAGGAGGCCACAGCCACACTCCTTTCATAAACAAACAAACATCTCAATATCATAATAGAAAGGGAGGGGGAAAAAAGAGGGAAAAATATAGTATACATATATGCAAATAGATATACACACATGTACCTGTATATATATACATATACCTATATATATGTATCTATTTAGACACAAATATATGGTAAAACCTCAAGGTAAAGAATTTAACCCTAGAAAAGACAGCAGGCAATACTTCAGGGAAAGCCACAGCCAGACTCTCAGTGTGAAAGATACTGGAAAAAAGAAAAAAGGCAAGAACAGCCTCAGAACTACTTCTGCTCTACCGTCTGACATAACCATTGCTTTCACTAGTAAACTTCACTAGTAAACTTAAAATGTCATTTTGTGTGTAATTACTGCCTGGAAGGGGATATACTATTGTTCTTATATCATTTTTAAAAAGAGGAAATTTAGGCTCAGGCTAAGTAATTTGCTTAAATTCTTCCTGGGAGAATAGGAATTTTTTTTTTCAATAGAAACTTGGATTCAGAAGCTATTTGTATTTCTAAGTCCTTTTGTAACATACCAGGCTGCCTCTCATAATTCACAGACTGATGAATACACAGAAAGGGCTTTAGTAGAAACTGTCAAATACTACATCTCAGGTATTTCTAATCAGTGCAGCTCTGTGCATATGGCCAGCTGTACTTTATAACAGCCCATACATACACACTGTAAACAACTGATAAGCAAGAGCCATTGCAAACAGATACAAAACAAACACTATTTGCTACACTTGAATTATTTTATGAAAACAAGTCCAGACACAGTTACTACAGATATAGACTTCTTACATCAACATTTTGTTACATCTATTTATGTCTCCATTCAGAAGAATGAGAAGTATTTATAAGGCATGCAAATATTTAACCCTTTCATTTGAGAAGACACAGTGTGTGCCATCAATATATTCATTAATAGTGACAACATGGCAAATGGTGGTTCCAAATACACTCTCCAGAAAATAAAACTTCACAATACTCAAATATCAAAGCCAAATTCTTGATCTCTTTTGTCAGTTTTCCTCTCCTACTACAATTAGCCATCTGACACCTGTTTCATTAGTTCATAACAATAAAGAATCTGATTTCGCAAAGGGGCAACTCTCCAAGTGCTCCATGAAAGAGTCGTGGTGGAGTGAATTCACTACACTCAATGTCAAAGCTAGTGTGCTTGGAAACAAAACTTCTCATTTAGATATTAAATCACACTCATCTTCATCTCCAAGGATTACTTTACTGTCTGAGTTAAAAACTAATAACCCTTTTCTATTACAACTCTATTTACCCTAGACCTCAAGAATTATAAAATCCAACGCCAACAACAACAAAAAATCCTTTAATTATATATACAAATATATGTATGTATACACACACACACATACACAAATAAGCCCACTGCAGAGTAGAAAAAGTACAAGATAGTAATGGTAACCCTAAATCCTGAAATTTATAAGAAATTCAAATATTAAGTATTTTACTCAGTGTCTGTTGTTCCCTACAACAACAAATGTATATCCACACACAAATGTCATGGAAATGTAAATATCCCAGCATTTAACTATACCTAGAAAGATTTAATACCAAAAAAGACTATTATATAGCAATACATAGTTGGTAAGAGAGTTACCCAGTTTGCAGAAAAAGTAAATAAACAATAAAGTGTGTTGCCTTTCCTTTCTAAGTAACATAATTTGTGTATAAGCTAAATTTAATTTAATCTAATTTAACTTAATGCACAGGTTTTCTAAAATCAAGCATCACGATATATAGCAAGTTATCATTTGTAACTGGAGGAAAAGCAGAAAGGTAGCTAACTCAGAATGACTCAACTAAGAAAAAATAGCAGCAGCAGAAGGCAGCGGACAGTCTCTGGTGTTTATAATAACTATGAAACTCTGCAGATCATCAATCTAATTCTAAACATTATATTGAAAACAGCTTTAGTGAAATAATGCAGCATTTCTCAGAAATCATAACAAACAG